GCCGTGGGAACTGTCAGGGGTAGAGAGAAGGAACAGAGGCAGAGCTAGCCCAGAAAGTCTGATTGGATGGGGAAGGGGTGTCCCACAACCACTGGGGCATCCCCAGAATGGATATAGGAAGAGCATAAGAGGTAAAGGGAACTGGGATGAACCCCTGACCAGCTAGCTGGCCGTTGGGCGGTATGTAAATGTGAATGCAAAGTAGCATGCAAATGAGCAGCCCCTTCCTAGGCTGGCACTGTTGGAGAGTCAGTCTCCCCTTGCAAGGGGGAACACTAGTGGGGCAGGGAAGGGGGCACTCAGAGTCAAGCTGCACTGTCTTGAGGACTCGAGAGTATTCCAGAGCCTGGCACCCGTGGCTCACGCCTGTAATCCTAGCTACTCAGGAGGCTGAGATCTGAGGATCGTGGTTCAAAGCCAGCCTGGGCAGGAAAGGCCGTGAGACTCTTAACCCCAATGAACCACCAGAAAACCGGAAGTGGCACTGTGGCTCAAGCGGTAGAGCGCTCGCCTTGAACTGAAGAGTACAAGGACAGCGCTCAGGCCCAGAGTTCAAGCCTCACAACCAACAACAAAAAAGAATGTTCTAGAAGGTCAGTCCAAAGCAGGTATTAACCCGGCCTAGGGCGCTGCCTCCCTCAAGTCTCTTATACCTGAGTTCTGTTTCATGTAGGCCCTACGTCCTTAGCTCTGATTTCTTCCTCAGTTTCCCCTTCATGAGATGGACAAAAGTAGAAAAGTAGCATCACCTCTAGTCCTTGTCATACCTCAGAGGTGGGGGGGGGGAGTCCGCGCATGCACCTGGGGTCTCTTCCTCCCTGCCTCTGTTGCCAAGGCAACTGAAGGGCAAAAGTCTAAGGTGATGGAGAGATTGCAGCGCTGAGTGCTGAGACTTGTAGGAGGAGCTGGTACTCCTTGGGGTTGTTATGGCAACGGGGAGGGGGGAGCTGATGGGGAAAGTGTGGGGTCCCCATGGAAACAAGGTCAGTTACCATGGGGACCCTGGGAGGGGGAAACAATGCCAGTTGCCATAGTGATAAGACAAGGAGATGGTTCATACTTGGGGGGTTGTATGTGGAGAATCAGGAAGCTCACCCCATGTAGTACTCCTCCTCCTACTCCTCTTCCTCCTCCTCCTTCTCCTGCTCCGGGTAAAGGCCAGAGACAGATGGACTGACCTCCAGTCCTTGTGAGAGGCCTGAAGGCTTGTTCTGAACACACCCATCATCCTCCTGCCGGTCCCATTCCGCTTTGCCTGTCCCTGGAGATGGAACACTTATTACCATCATGCAGCTCTGACTTGACTGGAATCCCTCTGCTCTTGAGCTGTGATTTACTCTCCCCCCTCACCCCCTGCTGTGTCCAGCCCTTTCCAGGCCCCCCTGTGTCCAGACCCCCCCCCATCCCAGCCTTGGGCAGCCTAGGTGGAGAGGACCCAGTTCACAGCTCTGCAGTGAACCGTGAGCTTCGCTGCTCGAATTACACTAGAGCCACAGCTCACTTCCGGCTTTTTCTGCTTATGTGGTACTGAGGAATCGAACTCAGGACTTCATGCATGCTAGGCAAGCCCTCTACCACTGATTCTGAGGCTTGAACTCAATACCTCATCCTCCTAGGCAGGATCTTTAGCCTTTCAGCCATGATCCCAAACCCTGTTGGGACTTTTCTTTTTTTATTATTTATTTATTTATTTATTTTGTCCATCGTGGGGCTTGAACTCTGGGCCCGAGCACTGTCCCTCAGCTCTTCGGCTCAAGGCGAGTGCTCTACCACTTGAGCTACCGCACCACTTCCGGTTTTCTGGTGGTTTATTGGAGATAAGAGTTTCACGGACTTTCCTGCCCGGGCTGGCTTTGAACCGTGATCCTCAGATCTCAGCCTCCTGAGTAGCTAGGATGACAGG